ATTAATGTAACAAACAACGGTTGTATTATCGGACATGATTCGGATATGAGTATTGGTCTGATCAGCTAGAAGAGACATTAATGAAAATTTTACTGCTAATAATTCCAATATATTTATATGCATTGCAGCTTCTGATGCTGTCCATATTCCATTTGTACACTGACCATCTTGAATTTTCGCCCCCCATCCTAGTAGGGATGCATCTGTAAAAAGAACCGTGTTTGGGGAACCATGCTGTATATTCCGATGTTGAAACTTAACATTTTTTATCCACCATGCAAGATCTTCTAGACTTTCATGCGACAAGGACATTTTAGCTTCAAAATTGCCCTTCTGTGACTTTAAAGCATTTATTTTATCCCGTTCTATATTGCGGTAATGAAGGCGGCCATATCCAAGCCCTGGGCAACTTGAAATTAGCGATCCAATTAAGGACGCTACTTCCCGAATTGTAAATGCTTTACCCTTATGACAAAAATGAATACAAAGTTTCGTTATTTTTCCAGCTTTCCTGTCAGTTAGTTTGACAATCATAAGAATAGAATTTAAAACAAAACCTAAAAATTCAATAATTTGTGTAGGCGTAATTTTGGTAAATATCCTAGGACTGCTGGTAAACTCCATAGGAAGACAAGTAAAGGCGTATAATTGATCTCGCCACAAAAATTTTAGATATTTCTGATGCTGAGCTGCGATAGGAACTGAATAATATGCATCCTTGAGATCAATTGACGTCATAAAACAACAAGGAGTCATAAGTCGTATCGCTGTTTCTAAAGTGTCCATTTTAAAATGATAGTAAGTTACCGACTTATTTAACGATTTTAAATTAAAAATAACGCGATGCGAGCCATCCTTTTTAGGCGTAGTGAAGATAGGAGAAATAAATTGAATACTTTCATTTTGAGAAGGTTTTATAATTTCCTTGTTCAAAAGCTTAGCAATTTCCACATCTATAATCGATTGCTCGTTATGAGTAAAATGACACTGTGGTCTCACTGCACTGATATTAGCAAAAGGCTCAGTCTCAAAATCAATATGACAATGAGAAATTACATCCAAGATAAATTGATCAGATGTTAATCTTTTCCATACATCGTAAAATTTTCTCAACCGGCCACCTGTAAATGTGGCTTGATTTTGAATTAAATTACTAATCGACTTTTGTATACATTGATGACTTACCTGATTTTCTACTTCTGGGACTGTCTCTGACTGTTCCGCTGATAATTTCGGGATTGCCCTCGGCCGAATCCTAAAAAAACACCTCTCGAGCCACGACCCCGGTAGTTATTCGAACGAGAAGGTACATAGGTTGAGGCGCGCCCAACTGGTCGACGATACGGTTCCATACGTTGACTAGGCGTAACTTTCTTTGTGAGCTTGCTAGCTTTTGAAAGATCTTCCATCTCCTTATTTAGGTCATCCCCAAAAAGATATTGTGACACTGGAGTAGATGGATTACATAAAGCAGCGTACTGTTTATTCAAATCCGAGCGAAGTAAATCTCGCCGTTTTAAATTTAATTCTCGATTTGCTGCTAGTGAAAGCACTATTGAATGTGTAAGCATAATTACACTATCCTCAATATTCTGCTTGCTGGAAAGGTTATTACAAACCTGCAAGACGGCATACAGCGAAGACAATGCCAATTGTTGAATTTTTTGAAATGTAGAATCGGTATTCTTAGTCTCCTGTTTAAGCTGTTGCCATATGGGTTTATTAATTTTTGGTGCGACTAAATTCTCGCAATTTTCTGGCTTTAAATACTTATCTTGAACTGGTTCAAGCTTCTCTTTTGTTAACTTCTCAGTCAACAATTCGTTGACGATTGTGGCAAGATCATGGTCAATTGCCGGTCCTGTTTGCTCACCCGGAGCGAACTGTTCTACAAAGGTTTTAAAAACTGTATTCTCGCTCAAATCTGTTTGCGAGTGTGAACCCTTGTCTTTGGCAAAGTTTGCGATTTTATCAACGAGATTATCCTCGCTGTGTTCTGGCAATGGGCCAGCTTCAGGGACACTAACACTGTCGTCCTGAACTTCTTGATCTGCCGCTTGCTCAAAATCTTGATAAACCTGAGATATCGACGCATTAACGTGACTTAAAAGTTCAGTCTTAAAACTGGACATCATCTCAGTCATAGCCGCTTTAATGTCAGCTAAATCGTTCTTGATCGGAGGTGAAGTGATCTCGTCACTACCCCTAGCTTGTTTGGAAGCAGATTTAGTCCCAGTTATGTGGCAATCTTTGTCGCACATGTTTAATTTAACGCGGTAAACAACAATACAGAAGTCTGATTATGCACAATTCACTGCACAATTATATTATAGGCCAAGACACGTCTTGGCCAAACATATATTTGTTATATCAAATATAAATGTAGTAAACCTGTATTAGTGCCGTGACACGTCACCAAGACACTATCTCAACATACTTTTGTGGAAACTCGTCCAAAAAAGTAGGAAAATTGATCTTCGAATATAAATCAATACTTACCGTAAACGCGTGAATTGACAAGAAAATCAAATCAAGCAGACAACAAGCGAAGATGAAAAAACACGTCCTAACACCACGACAATAACAAATGCACTGACCCACGACGGTGCGTGCGCATCTCATGGTAACCCGGATGTGCTTAATGATTTGGTAGAATACAGATCACCGCTCCATAAGACACGGAATTTTTCTGTGAATAGGGAAGCTTTGGAGCTTGGATTTACAGTAGTACGTATTCTCTGAACGTAAGGCAAGTCGAATATTCTCATTTGTTACTTATTTATTTTACCTGATTTGTACAAGACATGACGACGTACACGAATGGAGCGTCTTAAATTAACGGATGACCGTAGTGCGTTTCTGTTGCACCTTCATAAAATTTGATACAGTGTTACAATTAGACCAGTTGAAAACTTGTAACAAACCAAGAAATAGATTCTCCGATTTCCCGATTCCATAGTCGCACTTGCGTCATATCTTTAAAACGGAACATTTATCCGGTAGGCAGGTAAAACAGGCTAGCGCTACAACTACTGTAAGTAGCTGTGATGCGGTAAACGACTTACCGTATTCTCTGATTTTGCGATTTTCGACCTGGCGCAATATAATTTACTGTTCATCGATGACATTTATACAAATTAATAAAGAATTAAATGAAATAGTCAAGTCGTTAATTTCTGTCCATGTTAAACCATTCAAACTGACGATTTACCTTTCAAATCCCAAACGCGTTTCAAATGCATATACCCAGAATTTGTCCAGATGCCAAATATCAAACAATGAACTTTTATTTCCTCCTTGGTGAACAAATGTCGCAATTGGCATGGCAAAAATTGAAGCATAACATAAACAACAAAGGAAATATAAGCGAAAGCATATTAATTTACAGCTGAAAGGATCAAATATTGTAGCTAGTGGTTTTTACACTGTTCTCATTGCGTTATATATAACAGAAGCATAAGTACAGTATATAAAAATCAAATACAGTAGCGAGATTAAGATGCTTAGAACGGGAAGCGTGTGCGGACTTCATTTTATATGGTTGACAGAAATTACATTATACGAACAAAATGAAAATGTGATAAAATATAGATATCTGTCACTCTGAATATCGCGTATTTTTGCTCCCTACGTAAGCAAATTCATGGTTTCACATTCTTTGACACAGGCGTAGCCTACCAAAATTTACATAGCATGGTTTTCGCCGCGGTCGCACTACATACGACTTAATTTAAAATATATTTGCGGTTTGTTGCAAACGTTATAGTACCGAACCATAGCAATGAGCTGGCATACAATATTTTTTTGTAGTTTTGAAAAGTAGTTCAATTTGTTAGACGAAGGGATGAAATACCTGTAGTTGAGTCAATTGCATAACACAATGATATATTGTACATATATAGATCACATCAGTCTTGTTTATGACAGATTTGGTATTTTTGCCACAGAGAAAATATTTTCTTTTCAGACGTAACCAGTGGGTGTCTTCAAAATATTTCACTCCCTAGTGTGGGAGAACGCAAATACATGGACATCAAATCATTCCGCTATTATGTTTGCTTATTATGCTTTTTTTATAACCCTATTGATTATTTATATAGGCCTGATTGCAGATCACCCCTCCATAAGACACGGGATTTCTCTGTGAATAGTGAAGCTTTGGACCTTGAATTTAGTACGTATTCTCTGAACGTAAGGTAAGTCGAATATTCTCATTAGTTACTTATTTATTTTACCTGATTTGTACGAGACATGAGGACAGGAATGACGCGTCTTAAATTAACGGATGACCGTAGTGCGTTTTTGTTGCACCTTCATACAATTTGATACAGTGTTACAATTAGATCTTCGGAAAACTTGTGACAAGCCAAGAAATAGATTCTCCGATTTCCCTATTCTCATCGCTCTTGCATCATATCTTGCAAACGGAACATTTATCTGCTAGGCAGGTAACACTAGGGCTACAACTACTGTAAGTAGCTGTCATGCGGTAAACGACTTACCGTACTCTCTGATTTTGCAATTTCGAACATCGCGCAATATAATTTACTGTTCATCGATGATAATTTCTTCAAATTAATAAAGAATTAAGTAAAATAATCAAGTCGTCGATTTCTCTCTATGTTAAACCATTCAAACTGGTGATTTATCTTTCAAATCCAAAGTGTGTTTCGAACGCATATACCCACAATTTGCCCAGATGCCAATTTTCAATCATTAAAGTGAACTTTCACTTTCTCCTTGGTTAACAAGTGTCGCAATTTGCATGGCATAAATTGAAGCATAACATTGACAATAACGGAAATATACGCGAAAGAATATTAATTTACACCTGAAAGGATCAAATATAGCTAGTGATTTTTTACATTTTTCTCATTCCGGTATATATGACACAAGCATAAGTACAGTATATAAAAATCAAAACGATGCGATCGTTTTCTTCTCATTACAGTGCAAGTTTAAGATGCTAACAACGGGAAGCGCGTGTGCATTTCACTTTATTTGGTTAAAAAAATAACATTATACGAACAAAACGAAAATATGATCAAATATAGCATGTTACTCTAGATATCTGTCACTCTAAATACCGCGTATTTTTGCTCACTATGTAAGCAAATTCATAGTTTCACATTCTTTGACAAAGGCGTTCCAAAATTTACATAGCATGGTTTTCCCCGTGGTCGCACTATATTTACGACTTAAAATATATTTGCGGTTTCTTGCGAACGCTATAGTACCGAACCATAGCAATGACATAGCATATAATAATTTTTGGTAGTTCTAAAAAGTAGTTCAGTTTGTCAGACGAACGGATAAAATACTTATAATTGAGTCAATTGCATAACACAATGATATACTGTACATATATAGATCACATTAGTCTTGTTTATGATCACATTTGGTATTTTTGCACACAGAAAATAGTTTCTTTTCAGACGTCGTAACCAGTGGGTGTCATCAAAATATTTCACTACCTAGTGTGGGAGAACGCAAGTGTATGGACATCAAAGCGTTCCGCTCATATGTTTCCTTATTACGCTTTTCTAAAATCCTATTGATTATTTAAATAGGCTCGATTACAGATCACCCCTCCATAAGACACGGAATTTTTCTGTGAATAGGGAAGCTTTGGAGCTTGGATTTAGTACGTATCCTCTGAACGTAAGACAAGTCGAATATTCTCATTTGTTATTTATTTATTTTACCTGATTTTTACAAAACATGACGACACGATTGGAGCGTCTTAAATTAAGTTAAGGTTTCGCATTACATTACGATTCAATTTTTCTAATGTAAATATCTCGGCGAGTATTTACCCCCCTTTAAAATAAAACCCACCATTGAAATCCTCTTAAAACATTACACAAACCGAAACAATCATATATTTATACTCACCGCTTCGCCAAAAATTCAAACGAGAAAAAGAGAAAAAGTTGAATATATTCTAAACTTTGGTGTCATTTTCTGAAAGGATATTAGACTTTCCAAAGTCCTTTCCAGAGCCTTCTATGGCGCGCTTCGCTTCCTCTGTGGAAAGGACTTTTGTCACTTGCAGCGCGCCAAATATCACCGGTGGAAAAATCCACCGGTGACGTCATTGTTTACATTGCCGATTTGCCGAAGCGGTTTACATTATTATTGTATTACAAATTATATTCTCAGGCTTTCTTGTTGAAGAAATGTGTACTATTGAAGCAATTAGAGTAAACAATGTAATTACAATTTTGTAGAACACAAAAACAATGTGAAAATACACAAACAAGCATTACATTGAGTAGGCTATATTTAAAAGTACAGGGTGTCGAAATAAACTTTATTAATACTGTCACGTACCGAAGATGCATCTAATGATTCTAAAATTTCCTCACTAGTTTTGGGTTTAGTTTGGGTTTCTTGATCTCGTGATTACTGATTATTAATACAAAATCATTTGTTGAGAAAACAACGCGTATTTTTACCGGATTTTGAACTCTGGCGACGTCTTCTCGTTGATCACAATCGCCGCCTCTCTGCTTCGCGGTTACAGCTAGTTGTCTGATTCTTTTCAATTAGGTTAACTTCTAGTAGTAATATTAAATCGCTCGCGAACTGAATCAACTTTCTATAATAAGTCTAATAAATTACTATTCTTGTCGGCACAATTACGACACACATTGTTAGACAAAACAACTGTCTAGATTCAATAAGTTTTTACATGCACTCGTTTTTGTTGATACATTGAACAGCTTTCGGCGCTTACTTGGGTCAGTTATTTCGTTTCCACTCTCGGTGCAAACTGTTTCATTCGAGGACAAAGAAATATCAATTCTTGGGAATGTTTTTGTGTTTTTGTAGACCCACAGTCGGCGCGGTGAAGTAATTGTATGAAATGTACACACCCCTTTTATGTCAAAATTATTCGCGCCAAAATTTTTAATGCGATTTAAATTCCTGCAAGGGACACAAGTCGACCACTCGCGACTTCATCGCTCGGGTCGCGTGTTCCCGCCCCCGCGCCCTTCCTCCCCCATGGTCGACTTGTGGCAAGTCTAAAAGGATATATGTGTAAAATACTCTTTGTATTCAAGCGCTTTCGTGTAGAAAGTTTCGTATGAATACGGCGAGTAGAAATATTTATTTTGAATTTTTCAAGTATCGGGTTTTACTCGCACGCACTTGTTGCTGCCTCGTAGAGGCAGCATACTAATTCTGTCGGTCCCAGGCTTTCCGCGAGTTATGTGGAGGAGACAGGGAGAAAAAGTCGAGATTAGAACAATGGATTGATGACGTTTTGTGACGTATGATTCGTTTCAGTGCATAACTTCCGGTTTCTACCTGAATCAGTCTCGTGGTGTGGTTGGCAAGTTTAATACAACAACATTTTTTCAAAAAATATCGAATACTCTTTCCGCTTTGGGTTGTTGTTTCAAAGTAAGTTATCCTGAAATGTTATATGTTTATATTTATCTTGAATTGCTGTAGGTTTTACAGTAATGTACATCGACTGTATTTACATACACAACATTTCTGTCTACAGTATTAAATATGAAACTGTAAAATATATACATCGACTGTACTTTATACATTTACAACATTTCTATCCCTTCTAGGTGTATATTTTGGTGTGTGTTCGCGGGGATCTTTTGGTCAAATCAAATCAAAGGGGACCGTTCATTTTATATGTTTCAAAAGCAGTGAAGTGTGAGCTCGCTGTACCTGTATTACCAAACTTGCTAGCGAAGTGTGATCTCGCTATAATATTTATACTAGCGAAGTGTGAACTCGCTATATTTTTATATTTTATACTAGCGAAGTGTGATCTCGCTAGCTGGGCAATCGTTGGCAATAATAAAGTTGTTTCATGTTGTCAAAAGATCAAGCCATCAAGGTATTGTATATCAAAAGTTATAAATATATAGGTTGTGTGTCAACAAGAAAATTGCCAATAAAAATAGTTATATATCAAAATAAAATGAACATCAGAGACAGAATAAAATTCACTCAGATAGCCGGTGACAATGTTTATTTACCATTGTTACTGAGATTAGCCAACGATGTTGAAGAAAACCCTGGGCCTACTGTATATGATGTAGTTGACCCAAGCAAAACTATTTGTGCTGATTTTAGCCAAGACAATGGTAGATTATTCAGACATAATGCTGCCAAGCAATGTGTTGCCATGTCATTGACATCAATAGTGCACAGCAAAGTCAAAGATGTGAATGAATGGGATTCGTTATTCTTGAATTTAATTTTATGTTCTGGAAATGACCTTTATACTTACATAAGCAATTCTATTGGAAAAGAATTTTTACTATTATCTGAAGTACCAGAGTATGTTTTGGTATCCAGTCAAACATTTCATGTGACTTACAGTGCCTCATTTGGGAAGATTTGTTTATGAATGCTACCATGTTACCATACTATTCATTGGAAGATTCGCTAAATAGCTTGTTCTTTAATTCTCAATATCAATATTGTCTTTTGACAATAAATAGCAATTGTGTTAGCATTATTAAAACTTCTGAAGGGCTTTACAAAGTTTTTGATCCTCACTCAAGAGATACTTACGGTATTCCTGATCCAAATGGTAAATGTGTTTTTGTTTCAATTGATAGCATAGGAAATTTAGTAACCTACTTTCAAAATACTATACCTGTACGAAGTGTGACACCATTTGAAATAAAAGGTGTAACAGTTGAGCTAATGGCATTTGAGTCAGCAGAACAAACAGACACTTCAGGTCAAAAAGCAAATACAAATAGAGCTTCTTACAAAAGGCAACAAACAACAGAGAGTGCAAGTCATAAACAAGCTTGCTTGGAAAATGCTAGGATCTTCAAAAAGAGAAAACAACCCGAGAAAGAAGTAAGAAATTTACAGAATCAGGGTGATTATCTTGAAAGGTTTGACATCACAAATGGTGGTATTCATGAACAAGCTTGGGCAAAATTTAACATGCAAAAGTTTAGCAAATCCGTTCATTATATTGTAGCCAAATGCACAATTTGTAAAGAAGCATGGCCTGTAAAAGCATCTTCAAAAATATCTGAAACATATGTATGCCAAAGGTGTTCTAGAGATAAGAAATCTCCAAGAAAATTTTCATTTGAAAATTCAATGATTCCATCCCCTCAACTTGTCCAGTTACAGGGTTTGACTCAAGTGGAAGAAATGTTGATTGCTCGAGCTCTCCCAATTATGAGAGTTTATATTAAGCCTTGTGGGCAGAGGAGTTACTCAGGTCATTGTGTGAATCTGCCACAAAGTATTACAGAGCTGGCAACATCATTGCCACAATAT